GAGCATTTGAATGCACCGACCGACGCCCTCTCTGGTCACCTCCACTCCAAAGGGAGGGTGGGACCGTTGTGTGTGTGTTGAGGGGGGGATAATGACATCTGCACATGAGGTCAAGTCTCTCTTCCTGAACGTAAATCCAGAATCCACATTTCCTCCAACTAAAGTGTCCCTTTAAGAGCGAGAGTGGAGTTTCACCTCTTAAATGTCAGTGAGCCTTTACAAACTACACTGTGCAGCCACATGTAGCTAAACACACTCATAATATATCATTCATTCTAGTGGAGATAGATTCTAATGATATGCCAGGCTGAATTCATTTCATTGGCATAAAATGAGGCAAAAGATGTCTAGATTATATCCCTCAAGTCAACATATAGTTCAATTACTATATGTATATTAGTGTGAAATACGACAATTTAACGACCTTAAAGTTACTGAAAGGGGAAAAAGGTGTGTGTTGATGCGTCACTCAGAAATAATTTGCTGTCAAACACGTTGTACAACTTTCTCTGAAGAATGTTACTCCACTAGAGTTTTAAGAGCAAGGAAGTTATAGATAGCTTTAAATACACTTAGAAAAATCCGAAGTTGCTTAATCCCAACGTTTTGGACTGGATATCAGAGGCCTGTACTACGAAGCCGGTTCAACATAACCTGGATATGTTTGAGTTGCCCGGTTTACCTAATCCAAAACAAATGCGCTCTCGCTAAGCGGTCCTACGACGCTGGTTATCAACTCGTTAACTCAAGCCAGCCGTGTCCTATCTAGTTAGGTGAGCGTTCACATAAAAGTGGTGGTATTTGGAGCGATCGACCAATCACAAACATGGACAAGTGCAGCGTCATACTTCCTGAATGAAAAGTCAACTATAATATTAGACAAATATGAAGAAGTTAAACTTTAAACATCCATGACTTAAACACTTTATCCAGGATCAAAGCCACATAGCTGCACCTGCAAGGTGAATACAGCTGGTGACAGAACAAGTGTTTGAATGTGTACATTAACAGGTTTATGATATCACTGCCCCGTCTAAGACACGATCTGACTTTAATTACATTTTAGTTGAGTGTTTCGTCAACTTAATGTGTTGCTTAAAATAATACGTCTGCATACAGTATGTGACACTGAGTGTTGCACGGCCAGATACGGCTCAGCTGACTCAGATAAGAAAATATATGATACATTATGATGTGATGTGATATGAATGGTAATGGGACACATCGACGTCTGCACTCACAGTGCCGCAGACTGTACTTAATGTGTACTTAATGTTGTTGATCGCTTTAAACTCCGCACACTGAGCTCTGATTGGTCAGCAGGCGGTGCTTTCACTGAGTTGATCTCTTAGCCTGCAACCTAACCTGCTCCCGACCAGGTTAGCCGTTCAGCATAAGTTACCATGGAGATCTAGCCCGCTAAGAAGAGAACCAGCGTCGTAGGACCGGAAACCCAGAGTTTTCCCTGAAGTTAGCCGGCTAAGCAAAAATCCGGCTTCGTAGTACAGGCCTCTGCTCTCTGTATGTTTGAGGTTAAAAACAGCCCAACAAAGGAAAATCACACAACAACTGTTAACATCTCTCTGAGGGAAGTCTCATTGTGTGACAGGTTTATCACAAAGACCCACTCTGGACCTTAACCAAGGTCACACGCAGAGTGTTGTTCCCTTTAGACGAGACAAATCCTCTGTAGGGAGTTTCAAACTGCAGACAGCTAATGTGATGGAAACATTTACAGATAAGACAGTCGGCTGGATTTGGGGTTATTCAGAGGAGGCAAACTAGTTCGGATGGAGCATAATAGGAGGATATACAAATATAAACACCTCCCTAATGGGACAAAAGTGTTCATAAAAGATACATTTGGAGGTCAAAAGTTATAAAACCTTCAAGAGACACCCAACGAGGGAAATGGTTGTCATGCTAACAGCCAGTAGGATTCGCTAGTTTAGCGCCGTAATGATCTCAGCTCATGACATCACCAAAAAAAAAAGCCCCAACTAGTTTCCACTTGTCGTGATTCCCGGCTAAACAATCGTCCCCGCTCCATTCATGCAGTGACCCGTTATGACATCATCACAGAGGGACAGACAGACAGACGAATGAGCTGACTCAGCGTTCAATAAAACAGTTGAGTGTTGCTGTCAGAGCTCAGCGCCGCACACTGACTGACGGACACAATGGAGTTCGTCACAGACACATTTCACTCGTACTGCCCGTCCATCAATGAGCTCCTTTAGTCACCAGCGTCTTCACTGATTGGCTGTAACATGACACAACCAATAACATCTACATGGTGGACTCCCTGGCGTTTACAAAGTTACTGTTATTCTAAGACAATTACTGTTAAACCCCCTAGCTGTAAATAAAGAAAGAAGAAGCAATCGCTGGAGGATTCAGATATACTGTATACGGAATCTATAGAGCACTGGAGTGTCCATGCAGATAAAGACATCTACATCAACATGTGTCCCCTCTTCTTCATGTCTCTTCTACATCAACATGTGTCCCCTCTTCTTCATGTCTCTTCTACATCAACATGTGTCCCCTCTTCTTCATGTCTCTTCTACATCAACATGTGTCCCCTCTTCTTCATGTCTCTTCTACATCAACATGTGTCTCCTCTTCTTCATGTCTCTTCTACATCAACATGTGTCCCCTCTTCTTCATGTCTCTTCTACATCAACATGTGTCCCCTCTTCTCCATGTCTCTTCTACATCAACATGTGTCCCCTCTTCTTCATGTCTCTTCTACATCAACATGTGTCCCCTCTTCTTCATGTCTCTTCTTCATCAACATGTGTCCCCTCTTCTTCATGTCTCTTCTACATCAACATGTGTCCCCTCTTCTTCATGTCTCTTCTACATCAACATGTGTCCCCTCTTCTCCATGTCTCTTCTACATCAACATGTGTCCCCTCTTCTTCATGTCTCTTCTACATCAACATGTGTCCCCTCTTCTTCATGTCTCTTCTTCATCAACATGTGTCCCCTCTTCTTCATGTCTCTTCTTCATCAACATGTGTCCCCTCTTCTTCATGTCTCTTCTACATCAACATGTGTCCCCTCTTCTTCATGTCTCTTCTTCATCAACATGTGTCCCCTCTTCTTCATGTCTCTTCTACATCAACATGTGTCCCCTCTTCTTCATGTCTCTTCTACATCAACATGTGTCCCCTCTTCTCCATGTCTCTTCTACATCAACATGTGTCCCCTCTTCTCCATGTCTCTTCTTCATCAACATGTGTCCCCTCTGTGGAAAGAGACTCTGAAAGTTTCAGGAACAAAGATTCTCTCTCTTTTTGTCCTGATCCATTTCTATAAAAACCTGTCTGAAAATGAGCTGATCAGATTTTGGCCACTTTATGATGTCATAACGATGTGTTGTCTTGTGTAACCATTAGCCAATCACCAACCAAGGTACCCCCCCCCACCTTATCACCTGAATCTCCTCCTAGAGCACCATTGAGTTCTTTTTAACCAAATCTCTCTCAGAGGGGCGTGGGGAGGGGCTCCTTATTTTCATCCAAAGTAACACAGAGAATCAGCACTTTGGAAACAGGGCTGAAACAGAGGGGATTCTGGGTAATGCTGCAATGATCTGTTTGGTGTTTCAGCCAATCAGAGACAGGCTCTGGATATATCTGAGACCTATAATATATTGATGATAAACAGTATAATAGGGGACCTTTAACTTGTATTTCACTGTACAATATTTAAACTTACATTCTGTTCTTTCACCTGCACTATTTGATACAAATGTATGGTACTGTTTGATTTGCACTATTTTTATTATTATTTATTTTGTTGTCTTGTGTCCTTTTGTGACCTAAGATTTTCATTGCCATAACTACACTGTAGCTACATGATAATAACACCCTTGAATCTTGAATGTACTACATATTTTAACAAGATCTGATACTAAATTATATATAATGTCTTTCATTGCAAGAGTTATTTATATGTTCAATTCTACCCTTCCCTATCTGTCCATTATTCACGGTTAAGATGTACTCTGTGAACGAGGTCTACAGGGAGATGGAGGGTGGGTTTAGTGATGTGGCTGCTATGATTTGACTGTGTATTCTTGTGTTGCTGATGTGTCCTCTACCTGAGGCTCAGCTCTAGTGTCTTATGAGAACATTATAATTACACATGGTCACCTGCATCCCATAAAGAATAACAACCATCCTCTGAATAGTGTCTGCAGAAAGCCCTCTGAGCCAGGGTGAGACTTCGAAAAGTTGCATCTTTCAAATCCTACCGTTACGTTTCTGTTTTGGACTCCTGATAATGTCTCATTCTCCATATAAACAGAGGTGACTCACTGAACCTCAAAGAAACTATTTCTTTGGCATATGGAGGAATTAAGTAATATCTCTCTATAAAAATAGACCAAGTGCAAACCTTGTTTCCCCAATTTCAGTGGCATTCATTTATACTTAATCCCTTCTGGGGGAATCGTCCACTTCAACTGAATCATTTGTGATGCCAATGTCTTAAATCATGGGCATTAGCAGGCGGCTACATATTTCTATTTTCTGAAATATTTTGGACGGTTTATTTCTTGTGTCTTAGTTTCTCTTGTGTAAATTGCCTTGTTTTTTATGCTGCTGCAACGCAAACATTTCCCATTTTCTATAGCATCCAGCTATCCATCCATCCATCCATCTATCATCTATCCATCCATCTCTCTATCTATCCATCTATCATCTATCCATCCATCTCTCTATCTATCCATCTATCATCTATCCATCATCTATCCATCCATCTCTCTATCTATCTATAATCTATCCATCCATCCATCTATCTGTCTGTCTCTCTCTCTCTATCCATCCATCTATCTATCCATCCATCCATCTATCCATCTATCCATCGATCCATCCATCCATCTATCTATCCATCCATCTATCTGTCTGTCTCTCTCTCTATCTATCCATCCATATCTGTGTCTCAGTTTGAACAGAAACAGAAGCAGTATCATGTGAATCGTGCCGTACCTTATCCAGGATGAACTTGTTTAGGTAGGGCATGTAACCCTGGGTGGAGACGGGACCCTCGTCATCGTCTTTAAAATGTTCCTCCAGCGCCACGGGGTCGTGTGGGATCTTCAGCACTGTGCACAGGTTGTGGGACAGCACCTGGAGACAACAACAATACAACATATTGAATTGACTAAGATATAAAACAAACAATCTACACAATCTTTAACTTTGAGAAGCTGGAACAAGACATTTGGCAGCTTGCTGGACGACGTTTGTTATGTTATCTTTTCTTGAATATCATTTACCTCTGTTATGTATTTGTTTGTTTATTTATCTGTTTATTAATTTGTTGTTTTATGTTTTTGGTTGGGTGGGATTAAATAAGTGTAGAATTCTTCCCACCCCTTTTCGGATGTGTAATTAAGTAGATCATTCATTTAGAGTCAGTCATATTTTTGTATATCAATTTGACACTGCTTCATTTTGTATTGTATAATAATTCTCATGTTACATTTTTGTATTATTGTTTTACACATTCGAAACAAATCAAATCAAACTATAATGATTATTAAATTATCAAAATGCGCTACTAGAGAGTAGTTGTCTAGGATAGGGAACTAAGGGATCTCGTCTGTAACGCTTAAGAAGCATTTACTCAAGATATTTCTGGTGTTTTATTTGAAGAACTGATTGTTTTCCAAGAAACAGAGAATAAGGAAGACCTTGAAAAAGAACTCAAGTATCTCCATGTTTCACTCAATGAAACAGCAACCTCTACAGCTTGAGTTTGTAACGCTGGTTTCCTGTTCAAAACGTGTTCTAGCTGAAACTCTGCAACTTGCACTTATTTTCATTATTCAATCATGGAGTCATTATTTTCTCGAGCAATCGTTTGGTCTCTTAAATACGAGGAAAAGTCAGAGAAGTTCAAGGGTTTCTCAAACTTTTTCATACCAAGGACCACTTAACCAATAAAAAACACTTGCGGACCACCTAACTCCACAAATATCCAAAAACACATCGTTTTTCTAGAACAGATTACAAATCGCCTGAAAATGGTACAAACAGGTGGCAACATGTGTGACGAAGGTGTTGCGCTGGGCTATATCATGCCATCGAAAGTTAAACTTAACCTCGCTCCATTGCGGAGATATTCCCACGAGAGTGCGGAAAACTTAAATTAACTTATTTATTTAAAATGTGAAATGTTACCAATATACTCACGGACCACTAGGGGGCGCTCACGGACCACCAGTGGTCCGCGGACCACAGTTTGAGAAGCACTGGACTCTAAAGGATACATACAACGCAAATGACTTCAAGAGGCAATTTAAAAGGCCACTAGGAGCACTATGCATGATGAAGAAAAGTAGTATAATATATGTTCTGACTTTTAACAGAAAGCTTGTCTTATTGAGCAATAATCAAGATACAGCGCATCCTAAAACAAAAGCATTTATCCCGCTTTTATCTAAGAAATACCACAATCCAACACTCAGACATGTCGGTACGTTTCATTCTGTGAGGTCAAACTCAGGTAAGGAAAAACTTTCTCAACCTCATCTTCCAGTGAACACATTTCGTGCTTTCCTGTATTTCCAAAACTTTCATCAACACTCAGATGAGTAATACAGATATTACAGTCAGAGAAAAGTTTCTCCTCTTTCAACAAGATCTAGTTTTCTGTGAAAAGTGGTCCAGTGCTGGGGTAATATAGTAAACTACACATTTACCTTTTTAGATTCAGAGGCTACAAGTTTAACGGTTTATTTTGGAGACTTCTGAACAATGTGTGGCTGCCACTGAAATATGTGGGTGTGTCATTCAGTTGTAAACAAGTTCATGGTTACACACAGGATAATTAAGTTGTTTGGTTAGGATTTATCCTCTGACACTTACCCATTTAACTCTGATGGACAAAACATAGAAAATCATCAAGCTAATCTTTGTTAAAAATATAATTATAACAAGTCTCCACCTCAACAACCTATCAAACAAAATGAGCTAATGATACAATACACAGTTACAGTATCATGGTGTACACATAGGAGCCATTTTCTGCTTGTACTTTCCATTATTATACTTGCCTACGTTGAAACCTTTTCAAATTATTTTACAGTGTAGTATTGGTACTTTTTTCTCAATCAAAGTATATGAAAAAGTTGTTGACTACTTTACATTACATTTAGCTGACGCTTTTATCCAAAGCGACTTACAATAAGTGCATTCGACCAACAAAATACAAACTTGAAGAAAACAGAATCATATAAGTACATCAGGTTTCATAGAGCTAAAACATTTCAAGTGCTACTCAACTGGCTTTAGATAAACCAGTCCTATCTTATCTTATCATGTTATTATTAATAACTTGACCAGACCTCATATAAAAGTCAGCGTCACTTTAGGACTCCATGTTTGTAGTGTTATGGTCAAAAACAGAAACGCTATGTTGTGATGACTTCAGATAAACTCCTAATCTAACCATGAAGTATTTTAATAACACTGAAAAAGGGCTTTTTTGTGTTTTCTCTGAAGTGGCAGATTCCATCAGTGAGGGCAGGTGCGTCTCGGTGCACGCGCAGCTGTGTTTCCCACGAGGAGGAAACGCTCGCATAAAAGCAACTTAAAGTGTTTCATAATATGAACAGTTTGTTCTTAACATTGACAGCAGTGGGAGAGATTCCTGCTCGGCCAAACTCCATCCCACTGCCCCATAAAGATGCGCAAAGTAAAAGTAGAGTTACCTTCAGCTGAGATTTGGACACTTTCCCGCTTTTGTCCACATCCAGAGCTGTGAACGCGTGCCAGATGGACCTGAGCAGCTCATCCCGTAGCGCCATGCTGAAGGAAAGGTACAATAATCTCCTCTTCTGCTCCTTCTCTCTCTCTCTGTGGCTGTGTGTGAAACTCTGCTCGCTTCCTCTATGAACTTCAGCTGGACTGGATGAGGAAAAGTCACATGACCGCTGTCTGAGATTCAGAGAAGAGCTGCAGCACCGCGCAGCGAGGGAACAACACCATCATATCTGTTTCATTAATGCCATCATAACTATCTGAATTTCATTAACACCAGAGATGGCAAAAGTACACACATCCTTTACTCAAGTAGAAGTACGGATACTCATGTTTAAAGTACTGACTAAACTTCTTTACTCAAGTAAAAGTAAAGAAGTGTGGGCTTTGAAATGTAAAAAGTACCCATAACTACCAGCTGTTATATCATTATAATGTGTTAATGTTATGGTGTTCAAATGTTTAGAATTATTCAAAAATAATCCAGTTGAAAAACCTCGGTGAACTGGATCTGTTAACTTCGCATTCACACCAGCCTTGTGTCCGGTTGAATCGAACCCTTGTGCGTTTACTCGCTTGGTGCGGTTCGTTTGGGTCGGTGTGAACTCAGTCCGACCGCTTGCAAGTGAACTCTGGAGCGGTTCATCGCTGGTGTGAACCATGGGTGTGTGAACCAACGCAGTCCGCACCAAAACATAGGAAGCGTAGTATTTACGCGTCACAAGAACGCGGATGTCTTCAAAATCGTTATGTTTTAATGTTTTTTATCGCACGTTGTGTATTGTGGTTTAGTGTCAATGCGACTTAAGTCATGTTTACATTTGACTCGAAGAACTTTAACTCATTTTAATTACTTAGATTGTTTTGTAAAATAAGGCCTGAATACTATGACATTTTTAGTAACTGTCTTTTTATGTCATGTGTTTGTTGCATACTATAATTTAACTCAATATTTACTATGAATATTTTTCCATCATGGTGTATGGTGACTTTTATTTAAACATACTATACTATGGTGTTTTCTGTATATGTATACTACGACCTTTTTAAAACATACTCGACTATGAATTGTATTTTTCAGCATACTATAACTTTTTAATCAAACATTTGACATACTTTACTTTTTTCAGAATATTTTAAACATACTAGGACTTTTCTAATATTTGACATACTTTTACTTTTTCAGAATTATTCGACATACTGTTCTACAACTTTTCCACCACACTGTTTTCTGACTTTATTTTTCTCAACATACTATACCACATTATTTTCAAAGCATACTATACCATTAGGATTAAGTTCATATTTAAACACTTAGACACAGTATACGATGACTTTTTTAAACATACGGTATACTGTTATTCCTTCAGACCTTTTCCATGTACTTTACTCTATACATATTTATACACACTATATTTTTGACATCCTGTTATGTCTTTTTTTAAACATACTATGATTGCTTGACATACCAAGACTATTTTTAGACATGATATACCATGAGTAATTCCAATAACTTATCTATGACCTTTTAAGACTTACCTAACACTAGTTTGATTTTCAATGTAAAGCCTCTAATGAATTATAATCGTAGCTCAAAAAACTCCCCTTTACATATTAGATTTCCATTGATTGCAAAGTAAAGACCCTTCAACACACAACACAAAGTGAAGAAGGTGAGAATTTATTTAGAGAACATATGTACAAGGTTACAACATAAACATTGTTTTGTGTTAGAACAATGAGGAATACTTTTCTAAACAGTAATTAAAGACGAGCAGTGAGGAAAGTAAAAACAGAACAAATGAGAACGTAGAGAACAGGACGATGATTGTTCTAATGCTATGGGCAGGGTGGAAGCACCAATAAACAAACACTTTAACATCACAGATCATGAGTGAGCTCAAAGTAGATGAACTTCCTCACGTGGCATGATCCATTCTCCATCCGATTACATTAAATTGGGGGCGAAACGGCTACTTCAAAACTAAGAGCCAATGACCTCTAGAACGATCCAACCCTGATACACACAAAACATCAATAGCAGCAGTATTTTTTTATTCTTTTTAAAACAAAGAAAGTGTGGCAAGTGTTCCAGATGTTGCCTCCAAAGTGTTCCATTACAAACACAGAAATCCTCAGACCCTCAGCATCAGGCGTTCGACAGGCAGTAAGGTGCGCACGGAAACAAGTACATTCACACTGAAGAGCGGGCGCTTCGGCTTGTTCGAGGGATGTGCAAGGAAAGAGAAACGGAGAGAGAGCCTGTCGTCGATTAGAGGAAGGAATGAGTGGGGAAAAGGTAAAGTAGCTACCTTGAGTTTCTGTGTGTCAAATTCAAACCCAGCTGCATCTCAATATCTGATTAAAAAGGTCCATGAGGCTTTCACTTAGTCTCAGCAGAGGGTTGAGAGTGTGGAAAAGGTAAAGTAGCTTCCTTTAAGGGATAATGTTTCCTTTCTCCTAAGTCTATTGGGAAAGAAATGCTGAACTATGTTGAGGGTTTATCAAGTTCTACAGCTGACACAGGTCTCCATGGAAAGAAAACTAAAAAGAGACAGATCCACTCAATCAAGGTCCTTCCTCCCTAAAAAGTTGATATTTTTCTGCAGAAGACAGACGGTCCGTGGGCTGGATTCCAACCCGGGAACAAGTGAGCTACGTTGGCGCTGCATCTGAATTATTTCTGATTCAAAAAGGTCCATGAGCCTTTGTGTCTGACTCCCTGCTCAGTAGATGGTGAGGCTGACGGAGCGGTTCATTTTCTTTCCGATGAGTCTGGAGGTTCGGGGCGTCGGATGCACCGTGGAGCGCGTCAGGATCCGGTCGCCCGATAACACTTTTTCTTCCGCTGCAGCTCGCGCCTGCTGAGCCTTCTTCAGCTCTCTGAGGAGGAAATATGTTCAGTTAGTGATGAGGACACGAGGAGTTTCTTTGACTTAACTAGGACCACAAATATCACTATACTTTGGATGTTTTCTCAATTTATCATTAAAGAAAAACCTGTGAAAAACCGCAATGAAATTCAGTCTTCAAGTAAGAGCTGCAGTAACAATTTATTTAAAGTTTTTCATCTATCATAAATGTGTATCTCTTCAAAGTGTTTCCTTTGCCGTTCAGACTCACTTCTGCAGCAGAGCGTTCTTGAACTTCTCGGCGTTGAGCTCGACTCTCAGCTGGTCGGCGCTCATCCTGGCGGCGGTGAGCAGCACCGGGTGTTTGATGAGCTCCGAGGTGGAGGGCCGTCTGCTCGTGTCGGGGTGGATCATCAGCTGCAGGACAAGAGAACATATGAGATTAGGATGTGGAAGTAAAAAGTGATATTAAGGTGTTTCATTTAAAATGTTAAAAGGTGTCTATTATCATCTGGCCGGGGACAACAGCTGGAAATTAACAATGTTGGCTAAAGCTGCCCCATTTAATGTTTTTTTGTGACAGTTAATTAATTTGTCCACGACAAACAAATAAACTAACATGATTATCAACTTTAAAAGCACATTATTTAAATGCTATTTTTTTTAATATATTGGACTGTTTATTTCTGTGTCTTGGTTTCTCTTATGTACATTGCCTTTTTTATGCTGCTGCAACACAAACATTTCCCAAATTGGGACTACCTACCTACCTACCTACCTACCTACCTACCTACCTACCTACCTACCTACCTACCTACCTACCTACCTACCTACCTACCTACCTACCTACCTACCTACCTACCTACCTACCTACCTACCTACCTACCTACCTACCTACCTACCTACCTACCTACCTACCTACCTACCTACCTACCTACCTACCTACCTACCTACCTACCTACCTACCTACCTACCTACCAGACACAGAGTGGAGGCAAAGCATAGACATGAATGTGAATGATGAATTACCTTTAGCAGACTGAGGAAGTCTGGAGAAAGTACTTGTGGGATGTTGGGGAGTTTTCCCTGTCGGATCTCGTGCCATTTGTCTCCGTTGGTGGGGAAGCGGCTCGGCTCCCGACGCGCTGACGACGGTCAGAGCCAGAGCAAAGATGTCCGCTTTCGTCAACTTACTGTAGTCCTGCAAACGATAAAGAGGAGGAGTGTTATCGACACTGAAAAGATTGACTTGATGAAAAGATAAAAGGCAGTTTTTGAAGTAAGATGACAAACCTCTTGTAAGACTTCGTTGGCGAGGTACCTGCTGTCCCCTTCCTCCACCTGAGGGTTGTTCACTCGGGTCACATGACCGAGATCACCTGGCGAGAGAGAACAGATTAGAGTCATGACAATCTTAATCGCACGTAACATTTAAGAACAACGTGATGAGAAATTCAACCAGAACTGGCAACCCTTTATCAACCCCTCTAACAATAGTGTATCCTTCCCACAAAGTATAACGGATTAAATTCACAAAAGTACTATTGATTTATAGAACATCTACTTGCTTTCCCCCACCCCCTCATTTCCAATAACACACATGTCTATATTTGAACTAAACTATAAATACGGTATTTCTACTAAATGTACCTCATTAGTGTATCATAATTACTGACCTGTACAAATGTAACGTTCATTTTGTTTACTTTTTAAATGTCTTCAACCTGTACTTCAAAATCACACATTAGTGGAAGCATCTTACCTATTTTGTAGACGACGCTGGTCATTCCCTCTTCATCGTCACAGTCATCGCAGCTCGACACAGTCTTCCGCGAAATAAAGATGTTGCCTAAAACAAAGACGTTTATAATTGACATTAGTTTCAGACCAAAGAATGTCATAAAAAATATGGACTAGTGCAATAAAAATGGCAGGAATCAAAATATGCGTTAGGCAAAATGTAAATCGGCATATCAAGGTTTCAAGGCTTTTACTGTCATGTGCACATAGAGAGACGAAGTCCCTCCCTTTCCGGGGGAGCTCCATGGGACCTTATTTAAAAAAAGTATGTATTGAAGTCAATGGAGAGAGAAAGATTATCTTTAGATCCCGTTTGAATTGTGCCACGAATTACACATATGATGTTTGTCAATTTAAAAGATAATTTTGCAAGTCAAAAAACTTAAAATGCTTCGTAAAACTGTGAAATAACACTTTTTTTGTGTGAAACCGCTCAATGAACTACAACTCCCGTCTCGCACCAAGACGGCCGTCATGTTGCACATTTCACTTCTTCCTTTCAGAATGAGGCGAAAAGTATGAAAAGAGGTGAAAATCCCTCCAAGTCTGGGCGTGTTGAGAGCTGCACATACACACAAGGGGAGTTAGTCGGTTCCGTAAGAGCCAGCATGCGGGACCGGGACTCTGGGATTTGTAGTCTTTCTAGTTGCGTATTTTTCATAGTCTTATATTTCAACAGTTTTACGACAAACTGTAACTTTTTTTACATGGAAATTATTTTTTAAGATTGACATCATATGTGTAATTCGTGGCACAATTCAAACGGGATCGAAAGATACTCTCTCTCCATTGACTTCAATACATAATTCTTCCGAAATAAGGTCCCATGGGTCGGAAGTAGATGGGCGGGACTTCGCCTCTCTATAGCTACAGTGTAGTTAAAATCTCAGGTCACAGGCTCCTCCTCCAACAGTGCAGCACAATAAAACAGATACAAGTAAATACAATAAAATATAATATAATAGAAACTGTGCAGAATAGTCTATACACAGTAGTTGGAATATTGATATATACGAGTTGCAAACAGATGAATGTTATGTAAATATATATAATATGTTATATAAAGCCTAACTTTTCACCCTATTAGTATAATCTAAAGTACTCACTGGGCTTGATGTCCATGTGCACCAGCGTGGTGGAGTGGATGTATTTGAGTCCCCGTGTGACCTGCAGCAGCAGATCCTTCAGCTCCAGCTCCGTCAGGTAGCTCAGCCTCCTGTAGTTGTCCGAGATGGCGTCGGACAGCGTTCCTCCGTTGCAGTACTCGTTCTGGATCAGCATGTGGTCGTCCTCTGCCCAGGCCGAGTAATATCGAACCACGTGGGGGTGCTGACCCAGAACAGCGTGAGCGTAGACTTCCCGCAGAGCGTTCTGTCTGCAAGGAGGAGGGAGACGGAGGGTTTTAATTAAAAAGGAACATCTGGAGAACGCTTTGAAGTTAAAATGGAGGGAAATAAATAGGGTCTCGACTCTTTAGTTTTCATCCATTGCTCTGAAATGCTTGTGGAAGATGACATAGCTCACTTAAAAAAGGTTAAAACGGTGTAAAATGCAAATATTAAAGTTGGAAATATTCATTTATCAATAACAGGCTTTGAACACGTGTTGTAATTCAAATTCAAGCATCCTAAGGAAGACCAGGTCTGTTTGCATAGGAGTTGTTTTGCCACTGATTTCCTTTCCTATTCAACACATGGCATGATCCAGAAGCAGCAAATTCAAATGTTGGCAATAAAACTACTAACGATGTGAATGTGTAAATATGCAAAAGGACTCTTGGATGACTTGGGGTGCATCACGTCCTCTTTAATGTTGATTGTCTTTGTTCCATGGTAATCTCCAAGTGAACTTACTCGTCTATTGATCCTGCCAGAGGCTTCTTGGATCTCTTGATGGCGTAGATGCAGCCGTCGAGTCTCTTCACACATTTGAACACGGCTCCGAACTCTCCACAGCCGATCTTCTCCAGCTCCAGGAACTCTGAGACGTACCGAGACATCATGTTGCTCTCCATCATGGTGATCCTCTGAGAGAACAAAGAACACATTTAACATCAACGTGTCCAATAAGTCACAAGAGACATTTAGCATGGGAGTCAATGCCACAAACGAAATAAGTTGCAGCGCTAAAACAAAGTTCAAGAAAAAACGACCTGCAGAATGCAAAAAGTGCCGGATGAAGAGAAATAAATGAACTTATTCCCAACTATAAATGTGTGCTTTACTTTATATATAATTAAAATCACATAATCTTTTTAATATGGCTTTTGATTTGGGTTAACTTTCAATTCTCACTAGTATCATTGTTCATGTTTTACTGTATTTTCTTTCTGTTTTGCTTTTAAATGGTTTTATTTTTTACATATTTTCACTGTAGATGTTTTATCTTGCTCTGTAGAGTGACGTGTCCTAAAACCTGAAAGTAAACTCCTTCCGGTTCCTTCGACAAAAAGCAATGAGATTTCTCCATAGGGTTTAGGAAAATAGCTGTAAATAAGGTCTGTGGTTGAGACACATTTAAGAGACGGGTCACGTTTTGTTCAGCCGGATAATATCCACATAGGTCTACCCTACTTTTATAATTTTCTAATCATAAATCTAGTCGCCAGAAGCAAAATGCTAACGTTATGCTATAAAGGAACTACAGCAGGGTCGCTGCTTCAACGTCACGCCAACTTAAGATCCATATTCAAACTACAGATTCAAAATGGTACAAGTTGAAGCGTTTGTTTGAACAGTTTGCAGGAGGCAGGCAACAGGGCAAACTAACTTAGCGGAGTGTTTACGTGTTCGGTGTAATGACGTAAAATGGCCTCCACAACTTCTGTAGTCCTATTCAGCCACTTGTTAACAACCATCGTTTTTCAGACACGTAAACTCTTCAGAAATCACCAGTGGGGTCACTGCTGATGGATTTAATGTCGTAGAACAAAACGTGATCTGTCTCTTCAATTTGTGTCAACCACAGACCTTATTTGGAGCTATTTTCCAAAATCCTATGAGAAATCCCATTGCTTTTTGTCGAAGGAACCGGAAGTGGTAAAATGCTAACTTACTTCCGGGTTTTAGGATGCGTCACTGCGGCACTCTATTGATCTTAATATTGTTGTTGTGTTTTCTGTAAAGCACTAGGGGCTGCTTTGTGCTATACAAATAAAGTTTATTATTATTATTTATAAGGCAAGGCAAGTTTATTTATATAGTCCCTTTCAGCACACGGCAGGTGCTTTACAAAATAAAAAACATTTAAGAAGAAATACAGCAAAAAAAACATTTTAAAATGGCCTTTAACATCTTAACCTCTTAAGCCCCACGGACCCGAGCTCGGGTCCGAAAATGCTATATATGTAGCAACAGTGCTATATCTGAAGTGTCATTCATGAAACTATTAATATTCCATACCCATCTGACCGGAGGAAACTTGGCTAACTGACGATACGAAAAAAAAATGTTTTTCGAAAAAGAAGTCTCACAAGAAGCCTCTAAATGAGCCCATGGCAAAAACGGGCAATTGCTATTTCTGCTCATAACTCACAAAAACGATCATTTATAATTCATACTTTCCGCACAAACACATTTTCTGAAAGCTGAGATTCCACAGATTCCATGGGTGTACACCCCATCACTACAGGCACAACATTAACCGAGCTAGCAGCCAGAACATAGAAAGTAAACAATATCAGTTTTCAAATCCATGACAATAATTAGGTCTTACCTTGGCTGTTTTGTGATCAAAAGTTGTGTTCAAAGGAATAAAAACGCTGCTCAGGGTTAATCCAATGTCTCTTGTCACTTTAAAATGATTACTGATAATCAATTATTTCATTCACGGCAGAAGAGTAGGTCCAACGATTAACAGTCCGTGGCTTCAGCTGCGGGAGATGCAGTTTACGCATAGCTCCCCCTCCGCAGGCGTAATGTATTTACGTAATTTGAAACTGCTACTCGATTCGATTGGCTCTAACGATTCAAAAAATGTGTCAATCACCCAAATCGACCAATGAGTTCCAGAGATAGGAGCTTGCGTAAGTATAAATAAAGGCAGTATAGCTGGTTTACGCACGCCCCACTCTTTTTACGCAGCATACCTATAGCATAGCATAGCATGTCCCGCAGCGACAGGAGAGCAGAGAACGGCAGATCGATCAGCGAAACAGCAGGATTTGTTTTCTTTGTCTTCATTGTAACAATGGCAGCCAGAAAGAAGACTTTTTTTGTCCGTCGAGGAGGCATTGGACATCGTATTTCAGGACTCTCCGTCAGAAGATAGTGATCTCGTCACGCACGAAGGGGACAGTAATGACTCTGATTATGAACCTCCGTCACCGGAAAGGTAATCTCTCTGTTTGTATCTATTACTTATTTATTTGGTGTAAGAGTATTCATCTGTTTTTAACTTTTTGTTATTTATTTGGTGTAAGAGTGTATTCATCTATAGTAATTTCACACACGTGACAATAACACGATGGCATCCATCTTGTGATATAATGTTCTTTCACACACTCAACAACAAAGAAGATGGATGCCGTTTCTTGTTCTTGCTGTTGAAAAATACAAGACATGTTGAATTTAACACGGTATTACATTTCATTTAGCTGACGCTTTTATCCAAAGTGACTTACAACTATATATTAGGGCTGTACCCGAATATTCGACTATTCGTTCGTTGGCCAACTATTCGGGTTTCAATTTAATTATTCGGATATTCGTTTTTTTTTTTTTTCAAATTATTTTTTTCTTCCCCTAAATGTATGCTATCAATAAAGGCGAATTGCCATATTCTTATACTATATTTATACTTTTGAATTGCACTGTTGAAATGCTGAATATACAATCTCAGCCTGTGCTCCTGACATCGCGTTCACTCAGTCACGAACGCAAACGGCACGCTTCACCTCGCTTCACACACCTGAACACAAAATGCCGAAGACTTCAGCTGTGGGGGACCATTTTAAATTGGACGACGGTAAAAAGAAGGCAGTGTGCCAAATATGCGACAAGAAACTGGCCGGTGGCACAACAACTCTGAAAAGTCACCGGATGCTGTAAGTACTAGCCTAGCTTAGCTTAGCAAGTTGCCATGATGAAGCTGCTTTATCCGCCGTTTAAACGGTAACGTTACACATGATAAAATCGTGCACTTACTTTGCTTGGAAAATCGTTGCAAGCAACCGAATTGTTTTTTTTATATTAGTTTTTCAATTTTATCGGAATAGTGAAAATAATAGGAGCAATGTGGAACATCTGGGGCTAAGGCAATTATTGGCATACAGTTCGTTCATTTATTTTTCGTTCTTCATTTATTTAAATACTGTTTACTGTATCGGTAACAAGTATTACACGGTTAGGCCTACTGTTACGGCTATGTTATTAAAAGTATTGTTGTTATAACAGAAATATGTGTTTTGTATCTTCAGGTTGTAAAACGTTATAGACGGAATTTGGAACCAGATTTGGTCCCCGGGCGCTGCGCTGCGGCTGGGTTGGCTTGCGGCTGGCAAGAGGACACATTTAGTTTTAATGTATGCGAGTACTGAGACAATAAATAAATATAAATCGTAATAGTATGCTCTTTCTGCCCTTCTGCTTAACAGCGTGTTGTCAGGTGTCTCGGAGCGTGTTATGAAAAAATGTTGGCAAAAAAAAATGTTATAAAAAAAAAAAAAGATCTCTCCGCACCGAATATTCGCTGTTGATTACTACCGAATATCCGGAACCCGAAAAATGGTATTCGGGACAGGCTAGTAGGGCTGTCCCGAATACCATTTTTGTGTGTATATATATATATATACATATATACACACACACACACATATATATATATACATACATACATATGTATGTATATATATTAGGGCTGTCAAACGATTACAATTTTTAATCAGATTAATCACAGCTTAAAAATTAATTAATCATGATTAATCACCATTCGAACCATGTCCAAAATATGCCATTTATTTATGTATATTGTTGTGGGAATGGAAAGATTAATGAAAGAAGGCGGATATATCCATTTAACATAAACATTGTTCTGTGTGTCAAAATGAAAGACAACCCACACACCTATCAATCATCAAACCGTGGGGTCTTAATTCATTACGTGTTGATTTCTATCAACGGGGGAGTACTTCAGGAAAGTCGACAGAGGGGCGGCGGCGGCTAGTGGAGTACTTCGTGACCACAGAGTGCTAACGTTGTGATCAGCTGTTTTAGCGCAGTTCTCCAGTGAGGGGGGGGAGTCTCCCTCAGCAGCCGGTTGGCGTAGTTTTGGCACAATTCCGTTGTACAGACCGACGTTAACAGCAGCCCTGTCTGTGCACACGGAGACCGACTCTGTCGTCCGGTGATCTAACCGCCTTCTGGAAAAGCTTCACAAGTACGTCAAATGCGCTTTGTGACACAAGTGACGGTACGCATTTCAGATTACGCACATAACCTGCGTACCAGTTATGTGCACCCCTGTACTACAGCAAAAGTATTCTCCGTCGGGACTTCCTGCAACAACACCACGCCGTTATCTTGATTCCGATTGGCCAGAAGACATTATCAAAGATGTTCTATTGAGAAGACGATCACTACGTGACAAAAGTTTTCAAAACCGTGGCTACTGAAATCAATCTTACTAACTGCTCTCTGTGCAATTTACTCCGCACGAGTTGGCAGACTTTATTTTGCTTACTTTAACATCATTTTTCATGGTGGGGCTAAGCCATTTCTTGGTATGGGTGTAGCCTACCCCAGCCATACCCTGGCGCTGCCACTGGTGGGATGTATGGGGCGGGCCATTCTGCACATGCGTTAAATATTTGAACGCAATTAATTAAAAAAAATTATTACCGCCGTTAACGCGATAATTGTGACAGCACTAATATATATATATATATATATATGTATATATATATGTGTGTGTATATATATATATACACACACGCATATATATATATATATATATATATATACATACACACATATTACATTACATTTAGCTGACGCTTTTATCCAAAGCGACTTACAATAAGTGCGTTCGACCAACAAAATACAACTTGAAGAAAACAGAATCATATAAGTACATCAGGTTTCATAGAGCAAAAACATTTCAAGTGCTACTCAACTGGCTTTAGATAAGCCAGTCCTTTATTAGTATAAAAGTTCTTTGTTAATAGTTCTATCGCTCGAAGTGGAGTCGAAAGAGATGAGTTTTCAGTTTGCGCCGGAAGATGTGCAAGCTATCTGCCGTCCTGATGTCAATGGGGAGCTCATTCCACCATCCTGGAGCCAGGATAGCAAACCCACGTGTTTTCGCTGATGGGAACTTGGGTCCCCCTCGCAGCGAGGGCGCAGCGAGTCGTTTGGCTGATGCAGAGCGTAGTGCACGCGCTGGGGTGTACGGTTTAACCATGTCCTGGATGTAGGAAGGGCCAGATCCATTCGCAGCATGGTAAGCAAGTACCAGTGTCTTGAAGTGGATTCTAGCAGTTACCGGAAGCCAGTGAAGGGAGCGGAGGAGCGGAGTGGTGTGGGAGAATTTAGGAAGGTTGAAGACCAGACGAGCAGCTGCATTCTGGATGAGCTGCAGAGGTCGGATGGCACATGCAGGTAGACCAGCCAGGAGGGAGTTGCAGTAGTCTAGGCGTTCTGTTCAATATTTAATATTCTGTCTGTCATATATATGTGTGTGTATATATATATATACACACACACATATATTCAGTCAGTAAATCCTTAATTATAAGGAATAATTACCTTTGATGGTGGCAATAATTCCTCCTCTCCCTCTCCGTCGCTCGCCTCCATGTCTTCTCCACAGGAGCTGAAAGACAGCAGACAATAGAGGTGTTGTTAGCATTCATTCCAGCAGGGGGCAGCAGTGAGGGGGTGGGGTGGGGGCTTCAGGAGCACATGGCGAGTTGAGCAGTAACCATGAGGTCTTGATTTCCAGCCAAACCCCCCTGGCCTCATAACGGCTCTAACGTATCTGGTTATAACAATGGCTTGGATCTGAGAAGCAGATAATACGGTTAACGGGTTCAGCTCGACGTCAACAGGTTTTACTGAAACTGTAAATAATAGTTATTTAACCAAAAACAACCAGGAAATGTGAAACCAAAATATTTTGGACTGCAGCTGATCAACTCCCCTCAGCCATTTGGAAAACAAACTTATCAGTTTGTCGTTGGGGTTTGTTACACCTTTGCTGAAGTCAAAATCATGCATATTTTAAGAATTTCAACGTGCATTTGCAAGCTGTAAACGCATCTAAACATGTGGTAAATTAATTTTAATTTAGTTACACTTATTATTGCACTTCCCCATTAACTTTAAATGTGTGTTAAAGTGCGTTTGACCTCCAAAACTATGCTTCATGGCAGTATTTTAAAGAAGAGTGGCCCATTAAAGCATAACAACAAACTTTTAAAAGTGCATTTCCTGTTTGTTAGTACACCTAGCATCCTATAATTCCAAGCCAGGCATGTAGTTAATGATTTCCAGCCCCTATAAGAGCCGAGCTGTGTTTTGTGATACACGTCCCTCTAAAGTCGACAGGTATTTTCTAACAAAACTCACTCATTCCAGTGCGCTCTCTTCCTGTTCCTCTGCTGTGTGGCGGACTGTATGAGCAGGGAGTCGGGGGGTGAAAGGGTTAAAGTTGACCAGGGGCGTCTGCTGTCTCTTGCTGCTGTCGGAGAGAGACTTTCCTGAAGGCTCCACATTCTTGAACAGGGCGACTCTCCGGCTGGACGACCCCGACCCGGCGCTCCTGGCTTTGGAAAGCAAACTCTGCAAACAAATAAAAAGAGACGGACAGATTTAGTGCTTTGATAATTACTTCAAGAGCAGGGGAGAGGAAAACAGCAGATATACATATTCAAACCTTTGTAAAAAGGAAGTCTTGTGAAGCTAGGTCGAAGTGTGTGTTGTGTATTAGGGGGAAAAGGTAAAAAGGAAGTTAATATTCCTACTTGATTTTTGGTAAATGTACTACTACTAATGTTGTGTTCCCTGAAGCAACTGGTTATGTGTATGCATTAGAAAGGGTCAGAAAAAACGTGTTACATAATCCTGGTTGACAGTATGTTGGTGGTTCTGGTAGTAAATGTGGTGCTTCAACTGTAAATGTTGCGTAATGAGGAAGAAAAACATGTCCAGGCTAAAAACTCCATGTCACCAAATGATCTGGCAGAGTACAGAGTACATTATGTAAGAGCTCAGTTACACATTAACTGGTGAACCACAAGTATCCCAAGGAATTCAAAAAAAAATAGATGACCTGGTTTGTTTGTGTAAGATTTGTTTTGCTTGTTCTTCTATCCCATTTAACACATGACATGATCTAGGATCAGCCAAATCAACATGCAAGCACACTCAGAGGAGAAATGTCACTCCAAAGTGCTTGTGTAAGCTGACATCATTTGTCTGAAAAGGTTCAAAGCATGTCAAATTCAAACATTAAAGTTCTAAATATGAGTTTATCAATAACAGGCTTTGAACACGTGTTGTAATTCAAATTCAAGCATCCTACGGAATTTAAAAAAAAAGACCAGGTCTGTTTGCATAAGAGTTGTTTTGCTTGTTTTTCCAGATTCCCTTTCCTATTCAACACATGGCATGATCCAGAAGCAAGATAAACACATTTAGAGGATAACATGTGCTCTAAATGCTGTTTAGAGGTGTTATGCAAGATCATAACTTAACCTAAAAAGGTCCAAAGTGTGCCAAATGCTAACATTTAAGTGATTTCTTAATAATCTTAACTAAACCACTTACTATTTTATCAATAACAGGCTTTTTACACACTTATAAGAGCTCTTCAAACACTATAAGGCTGTGGTAGTTTTCAAAAACAAAATGAAATTGTCTCTCTGAAACTTGCTTTATTTCTGCATCTAAAAGACCACTCACTTAGATATACATTGATATCAAAACTAGTGTTATTACAGCATACGAAACTCTACCTTTGGTGTGTGCGGAGTGTCAAAGAGTCTGAGTTTTCTGAAGGTTTTGTGTGGAGGTGTGTCGGGGCAGTCGGGGATCGGAGAGCTGGACGCTTCCCCGTCGTCCTGCACGTACGACCGGTCCGGGGAGCCTCCGTACAGCCGGGAGGACTTCCTTGGAGACGGGGAGCAGCGGGCGAAGATCACGCTGTTCGGGGACCGGAGGTGAGAGGGGGATCCGAAGCTCTCCTCGTCCCACAGCTCCACCTCGTCGTCCCCGCAGGACTGGTTCAGGGGGCTGCTGCTTCCCTCCAGGCGCTTATCCACCGTGTCCCGTCGCACTGGCATCGGGGAATCCATCTCCGTGAAGCCGGACTCCCCCCCGGTGCTGTTGTTTACGTCCTCTATGGACTCATCCTCCCCATCGCTGGAGGTAAACTGTAGTTTCTGTCGGAGTGGCACAGCTTTAGGAGTCAGAGATCGATGGCGAGTGTAGCTCGACATTTTTCTTTTCAGGATTTAAACCCCGGCGACGTCGACGGGAAAATCCCCCGGTTGAACACCCGCTACTGTTTAAGTAGCCAAAACACACAGTGAACTTCCAACTACCTTAATGTAAAGGTATCGAGTGGAAAAAAACGTGTTCGAAAGCGACCGTTAATACTTTAAAAGTCCGTTAGCATCCCAGGAAAAGTTAGCTTGTTTGCTAACTCCAACACGCCCCTCCAACTGCGAGAAATGGAGTCGGCTAGCTAGTAGTCACCGTCCCGAAGAAAGTAAAAACAAACAGAAACTACCCGGTCAAGTTGGGTATTGGTATCCGTCACTCCTCGATGTCTCGCGGACACAGAAACAGGTTTTTCCGCAATAAAACAAAATCAATGTTGACAGAAAAAAAGTTTGAATGAGTCAAGAAGAACTAGGCGGCTCTTCCCATCACGCGCGTGGCAAAGGACTTCCCGCGACCGTTGGTCACATGCTCCGCATCAGCCAATCAGAGACCTCCTCGGATATTTGAAAGATGGGCGTTCCAGAGAGGTCTCGGGAAGGGTTACGTCATCGGTAGAACAGTAACGTAATGGCGCGAAACGCCGCGTTGCCTTTCAAGTCTCTGCAGGAGTCAACAATTAAAATCAAACCTCGAGACAATGCGTCTTTTATTCAGATCGCATGGTCAATGGAGCCGCGATAAATACAAAGGGCAGAGTTCAATCTGAATAAAAAACCCTTCTGATCAGTTTATACAAGGCACAATAGATCTAAAACACATCGTTTATTATAATTATAAAATGGATCTGAGTGGTTTAAAATAAGTGGTCGAATAAGTTATTATTACATATATTTATGCATTTGTTTCCATATTTAATATTTTGTCTAAGCATTGATTTATTTATCTATATATTCTAAGTTAATTTGTATTTATACATGTAGCCTATAGATGGATTTAATTGGTGTCATTTTACTCATTTGACTAAAAAGGAGCTTTACCAACATATAAATACAAGTTAAATTCTTGCAATTATATTCTTATTATATAACTTTCTGAATGTAACAAGTCTACCTCAATAGTAGTTTCATTTAAATATTTAAATGAAACATTGAATGCAGGACTTTTGCTTATTTTGCTTAAGTACAAATACATTTTTCATATAATATATGTTCAGGTTGGTAAAGTAGGAAATCCATCATATATTCATTTACAAGAAAAACATATTTCAAATTGTATCGTAAAGTAAACATATGAATAGAAAATTGATTGAGAAATCCCCCTTTCAGAGTGTGACATACTATAATAACAGGTTTTATGTAGGATTTGAATGCCTGACATAATATATTCGTAATTTTAAAGCTGTTTGAGATAAGCCACTTTTCCTGTATATGTTCTCTTTATCAACACAGCATCTTATTGTATTAATTAGTACAGAAGTACAATATTTGCCTTCAATTACGATGTGAAATTTACATATTGCATATACACATCAGTCTGGATATTTCCCTCATCTATTGTAGAAGATTAACAGTACTTTTTGTTAACCATATTTGTCATTGGATATACTGCAAAGTTACCGGTATTCCTTTTAAAAATATAATTGTTTGACAGAATTTAGTTACTCTGACCTCTACTACAAATGTCACGCACCCCAATACCATTGACTCATAAATGAAATGTTGTGTCATGTAATCCTTAACTGAACTTATAAATAAATGCTTGTAATATTTATTTTCCGTATGTGCTGAGGGAACGGTGATTTCGTACGTTTAACTCGGGAGTTTTTAAAATCAAGTGCAGTCATATAATCACACAATTTCTCTTTAATTAGAAATAGCATTAGCTGTACACGTCGCTGTGCACCATAAACATTAGAAAGCATTTTCCCCTCTCCCGCCTTGGTCGAGGGACAAAACAGCATAGCAGAGCTCCAGTTATCAAAATCCTATGTACACATAAAAGCTAAGTCCTCTGGTGGAAAGCCAAAAAAACAAAACATGGGAGGAAGACACGTGATTTCTCTCGTCAATATATAGTCTTTTTTTAGACGTTTGATGCCAAATCATAGTCCATAATGAGAGCATCAATCATCCAGCCCCTCTCCTTGCTGTATTCTCGATGCTATCCTGATGGCTTCCTCCAGCGAGGGCTGATCGCTGAGCTGCAGAGACAAGAGGGAAACAAAACACGTTATACAAATGGTGATTGACGTGTTGATAACCTGTTAAATCGCTCACTGCCACTGATTTACTCTGATACGCTTTGAAAACTCAATACCACCTCCTGTGACTGTTTTACAAGCTGCTGAATCTCACTGATGATCGTTACATGGTAAAAGTAATTGCTTTGTAATTAACATGACAGAAAAGAACAGAAGGGGGGGGAAAGAAAACAGTGTTTTTCCGGATGAATAAAGGTCATGAGAACATCATCCTGTGATGTGATCATAGGGGGTTTAACCCTGAATACCCAATATAGTATTAAACACAATATGTAAATACAGTGTCTTTACACACTTTTAAGAGTGAGATTTAAATACTTTCAAGGTATGTAAATCCAAAATATCCAGTATTTTTAAGCCTTTACCATCACCTCTAAAGTGTAACTACAACAACAACAAAATAAGATAAAATAAGATGGACTTTTATTAATCCCTCGTGGGGAAATTGTTTCTCTGCATTTGACCCATCCTAGTGTTAGGAGCAGTGTGCTGCCATTTTGAACGGTGCCCGGGAAGCAGTGTGGGGAACAGTGCCTTGCTCAGGGACACCTCGGTAGCACTTGGTCGTGCCGGGACTTGAACTGGTGACCTTCCAATTGCCAAGCCAAGTCCCTATCGACTTCGCCACCACCGCCCCAAGAACACCATTACTTTGTACCAAAATAACTCAACGTAAATTCACCAGTTTTATAATTTTTAAACCAGCATAAATGATACTGGTTTATGTGTTTTGACCTTTTCGTGAGTAAGAGCTCTGAGAATGACAAAAAACATATATATATTAAAGTATATTTAAAACATACTGGTTTCAATTCAAAGGTCCCATGTCATGGCCATTTCTACTGATCATAATTCCATTGTTGAGGTCTACTAGAATAGATGTATATTGTGCAATTTTCCAAAATCACATTGGTTTCTCACAGCATCTCTGTATAGTATGTGTATTCACTCTCTGTCCTAAACGGCTTGTTGGAGCTCCCGCCGTCTCAGGGAGGAGAAATCGGCGGAGCTGCAGCTGAGAAAAGATGTAGGCCCATTCCCAAACCGCCCCCTACACCCTACCCCTCCGTTTGCGCGTTCACGCGGAGGGTCCGCCATATTGAGGGCTGTTCCAAACCAACGAGTGTGGAGCGGTGTGGAGGGGGAGTGGGCTATCAAGCCCTCAAACAGCGAGTCTGCATCGATGCTGACTTGAGACCGGTCTCTACCTGACCGGAGTCACGCTGTGTGTATCCGTCAGGAAACACGCTGTTAACAAGTAGTTCCAGCAAACATCCACTGATAAACTGCGATGTTATCAACCTCATGATGACCTCATATTTCTTTAACTTAGGATCAAACCTGTGTTTAGTCTAGAAAAAGGTAAATGTGTGCATTTTGTTATAAAGTTGTGTATATTTACAGACCGTTGAAAAAACTAAGAAGCTTGTAAACATCAGGTTTAAAACTAAAAGAGCTTTGAAACACAATGAAAGATGTTTGGAGTTTTATTTGAGTTATTCATTTAAACTTTTTGTCAAAGAGATGCTGATTTGAAACCGTTGTTACAGTTACGGCATTTCCTGTTTCTGCCGGAGAGAGGGCCGTCCCAAAGCTTGCCGCTGTATTTACTCCCTCCATCTGACAGGAGGGAGCCTCGTTGAGCTGCGAGTGTGGCTACAGACGGAGTTCACTCCGTCACGGAGGGGTAGGGTCGAGGGAGTGGTTTGGGATTGGGCCTGAGTGTGTGTGTGGGAGGAAGTCCGCGGATTGGTCAATTTGGACCAATCCACGGACTTAACGTAACGGCTGCACGGATTAGTCCATTTTGACCAATCCACGGAGGGGTCGTCGTCACGTCACTTAGTGCCCGGAAGAAAAAAATTGAAAAAGAAAATCTCTAACGAGGCGTTCTGGGGCAGTATAGACAGGTCTTTTCTGTGTTAGAGTTTTACTCGCTACAGGGTGTAACACACAAGGGGACAGGTAATACGGAGGCGTGTGGCGTAGTGGGTTGGTGTTCGGATCAGGGGGGCACAGGTTCAAACCCCACTGCAGTCAGCATGTCATTGTGTCCCTGAGACACTTCACCCCAAATTGCTCCTGTGGGGATTGCCCACAGTATTGAGTATGTAAGTCGCTTTGGATAAAAGCGTCTAACAAGTAACATGTCATGTAATGTAATGTAATAACTGGAAAAGCATGACATAGGACCTTTAAGCATTTGCATTTTAAAGTACTAACCATATATGTAAACAAACCCTGAAGTTAAACAACGTGTTTATTTGAATAGATTTAGGATTATCCCCTTTAGTTAAAGGGCTAACCTCACTAATGTCAACACTGCCTCTTATGTGTAAAACTTCCTCTAATTTCCTTCTGCTTTTAGTGACATACCTTTTTTAACTAATACAACCTCAACTGTAAATTGTTTTGCAGAAGTGTGTTCCTTTTTCATTTACAGAAAAAGTCATCATTAACTTGGATTACATGTAAAGTCACAGTGTGTTGTTTGATTTTGTTTTTAGCTTTATACCTAAACAAATGTTGAGCTGAACCCCACCCACCAAGGATGTGTATTAAGCGTTTTAGCAAATAGCTCAACGGGGTGGGATCTGGGGTGTTTATTCAAAGTACCACGCTTACTGAGAAACTCAGCAAACTCAGTTTCATATAATCAGCAGAGCACTTAAGAGTCGTTTCAGGCATAAACTAATAAAGCAATTGTCAGACTACTAAAAAACGTCTACGACCTTTTTCGAAATACATTCTGAGCCATGAATGTTATTAAGTAGTGCAGCAGCTAATCAAAGAAATACACAAGACGTTACAAGTTGATTTGTAGTCTGTCACACATTCAAGTTGTAATTAGAGTAGTTAATTAGTAGGTGTGAGAAGCTCTGTTTTCTAATGTCCTGACGGTAGGAGCTCAGGCCAGAAGTGTGTCTTTTGTTGGTTTTATTGTTTGGATCATTGCTCAGATCTGAATATATCAAATACTGCTACTACTATATATATATCTAATACTTTTCACATGTAGGTTGTTGTATAACCTCTTTGTCATAAGAACAACTTGATAATATTAAGAAATGCACACAATTTTTTTGTCATATAGCTTCTCAATATCGATATTGTGGTGGTCAACAGTCAACCGACTGTTGATGCTTTCTCATATTTACACAGTGAGATGTTTGAGAAATAATCATAAGTAGGGCCGATATTCACTCTCTGTCGATCGATCAGTGCTCTCTATAAATGCCGATCGCGAGAGGCGATCACATGACGTAAAATACATGACAC